TCACAAAATAATCTCTCTTTATGTTGGGTAAATAAAATCAGTTAATTTTTTGAACCAACTTTACTTCGCATCACATGACAAACTATATACAGTAGGATCATCTGTTTATCATCTGTTATTCTGTACTCCATAAATGAACTGCAAGTTTTATTTATTTTAAATAATAATGTGAATTTCCACACACCCTGATAGCATTTGTAGATACCTATTCTGAAAGGAGGCCAATAATAGATAACAAACTGCAGATTTAATGGTTATCAGCTAAGATTTTATCCCCATATAAAACATGTTACAGGCAGTCCTTGGACTTAAGACATGGTTTTCAGGAACCAGTTGTGTCGTAAGTCAAAATATTGCAACGCAGAACCCATTTTCTCATAAGAAACAATGTTATAAATGGGGGATTGGTTCCTGAACCAAGGCCTGATACGCTATTTTTACTAAAAATACCCCAGAATTTTGTACTTGATCAATTATAGATGAATAATAGCTATATTCATGTATTTATATTAAATAGCAATCATATTGATTTGGAAAGACTTCTTTGAGGTGATTTTGCTGGACTTTTTGACAGGCTCTTGGTTGGACTTTTGAAGGGTTCTTGGTTGGAGTCTTCCCAGGAGTCCTGGCTGCAGGTTTTCTGGAGTCTTGTCTGCTTTCTTAAAGAAAGTGTCCAAGGAAGTTTAGACAGATGTTCTCCAGGAAGATGAGAGAGTCAGCAAACTTGTTCATTGGCATGGTGTTGCATCAGATCAAGGGTTGTAAAGTCAAAACTGATGTCATAAAGTTGAAACAATTTCTAAATGTTCTAAGTGCGAAACGTTGTAACTCAAAACGTTTTAAGTCGAGGACTGCCTGTATTTTGTATTCTTTGTGTTAACATGTATCCATAAAAGAGTGCTATATACAAAGGTAACTTATTACAGGTTTCCCTCACTAAGCATGGGTGTTCGGTTCCTGAAAGTTCCCGTGGTTGGCAAAACCGGCAGGTCTGGGGGAGCAGGGGTGTGGGTGGGGGGGTGAGGAGCACCAGCAAGGCTGGGAGGGAAACGAGAGGCGTGAGCAGGGCCAGGGGAGTCATGGGGGGTATATTCCAACTGTACCTCCCCCCTTCTCTGAAGCATGGATACTCAAACCGTGGTTGGCAAAACCATACTTGGCGAGGGAAACCTGTAACAGCTAATAATTAGCAATATAAGATTTAATCTTTACAATACTTAAGGAAAAATCTGCCGTAACAACAAAAGCATCTGTATTCAGCAAAAAAGCCTCAAGCTCCTTGATGGCACCCCTAGGTGTCAGTATAACTCACAAAATAGTGAGCAAGTCCTGTCTCAGAAAACCTGGATAGTAAAGATAAGGTTAGGTTTCCCAGCGTTTGAAAAGAAAAAAAAACCCCTGAAGTACAACTTACCTACTTAGCATTTAACATTACTAAAAGGCATTCAACATTTGTTTCAGAAAAAGGAAGCAGACTACCTTCAATAAGAGCTACCTGCTTTATTTTTGTTAAGAACAAAAACAGGCATACCCAGTCCTCGTAGTCTGTTCCACATGTTATTGGCTAGTTCTGTTCTTTCAGGCAACTGCAACTCGGACAACAAAGAGCCACAGCTTTGCAGCAGAAGCAAGACTTCGTCCCTACTTGCCAATCCTGAAACAAAAACAACACTACAGGTTCAATGCATACGAATCAAACATTCCAATAAAAACATGCAAAAGTAACACAGGCAACAAAAGCTCAAGTCTCCTCCAGCAGCTGAGCGACAGAACACATCTTTTGTTCCTTGATCTATCCATTTAAAAGTCAAATAAAAAAGTGACTTTAACTATAATGCTGTAATTACTCGAGTTCAAGATGACCTTTAATTGAAGACAACCACCCACAATAATTAGATTCTATACATGGACAATTTATAAAATGCTACACTTTTCTATACATAGAACCCAATTACTGAAGGATCATCTTAAATTTGTCCCCCACACTGCAGCAGAAAAAGCTGTGGTGGGGGTGGAGGGACAGCAGTTAAGCAGCTTGTCCCTGCCCCCTGCCCCATCCCCTGCCTACCGCTCCATCCCCCAAACTACCCTTGATCTGGTACCAACAGGCTCTGTCCCCACTTGAGGTTGGAGTACTGATCATGGCCCCAGACAAGTCTGTACTTCAAGCTGGAGCAGGGATGGAACCTACCAGCACCGAAGCAACGATAGGTGGGGGAAGGGAGGGAAGGGCCCGAGGGGGAGAGGCCTCATAGTAAATGTGGAAAATAACCTCTTTTTAAATCTGAGTAACTACAGTAATACATACTATACAAGGTGGTCAACAATTTTAAAAATGAAGACCCAGCCTAAAGTTTTTAAATCCTTATTTATTTAAGTTGCTAAAAATATTCAAGGAAGTCATATTTAGGTTTTGAAACAAGTGTACCTATTTTTGAAAACTATGGTCATTAATATTTCAATAATGCCTGAAAACATTGTTTTCTCTTTAGTAACTCTTAAATACAGAGCTGGCTTCACCCCTTTTCTTACTTATCTGGAAAATATCCACAATCCCGGCTCATACTCTCACTTCCAGTTTGATAAAAAGGCCCAATGACTGAATATACACACACACAAAAACGTTATCTGCTAATCTCTAAAAACAATCATTTCAGTTCAGGGATAAGATGCAGAGATACAGTGGCTTAGAGAATCTTATGTTGAAACTGCCTATCTATTTGACTGACAGAGAGGATTTCACTTCTGCAGTATCAATGTAGTCTTGCATCACCACTAAATTCACTTTAACGGGGCAAAAAAAACCCTCTAACATTACTGAGTTTGCCTTTCCATTTACTCAACTTGTTACGTCCTTGCTATGCTATTGTTGGAACTACTATTAACCTCCAATTTTGGTTCATAAAGTGAAATGACTGAAGGTTAAGGCTGAAAAGTGAGGTTGCTGACAAAGAAAATGATCATACATTTGAATGTTTTATTCCATACTAAGTTCTGCCATTATGAACTCCAAAAGAAAGATTAAAAGAAGTAAACCCTACATTTAAGTCAAATATATCTGCAAATAAAGAAGTTGTTTATAAAAAAAAAATGCAGCTAATTGAGTCTGGAAACTAAAAGCCCAGACAGTGTTCCGTTCAAATACAGATCTGGAACTTTGTTCCCCCATTAAACATTAAACAGGATGGGGGGGTGAAAAATCAGGTAATAGCATGACACCAGCATTTGAAAATACATGAAAAATACACAGACTTTGTACAATTCCCCACATGGTAATTTTCAAAACTTCACTGTACCTGAATCCCTTTAGTCTCACCACAAAGTATCTATCCAGAAGTCCACAAACATAGATAGCTACTTTACATTCCAAATTTTTCCTTCTAACTGAGATTAAAATTTGTTGAAGCATGGTTAAAGAATACTAGCAAGATAGTCTAGAACAGCAGACCGATTTCTTAATTTAAATAATAAACTAAGACAATCAGTACTTGTTTTTTCCCCAACCATCAAAAATATCAAAATTTAAATCAGTTTCTTTGTTGTTCTTTGGTTTGACAAAAACATACAAGCCATTAATATTAGGGGTTCACCAAAAAAGATTTTTTAGGCCAATACCAATGGCCGATTATTGACCAATTCCATCAGCATCTGGCTGGTAAGTCTGTAGGGGAAAGGG